TCTTGATTTCAGCTCAGGTCATGCATTCACAGTTGTGAGATCAAGCCATGTGGGGCTCTGTGCTGACTGTGGAGCCTACTTGGGATCTTCTCTCTCTCTCTCTCTCTCTCTCTCCCTCTCTCTCTCTCTCTCTGCCCCTGCCCCCGTTCACAAACACAATTCTGTCTCTCAAAATAAATAAATAAACTTAAAAAAAAAAGGGCAAAAGTTCGTTGAAAGTTTCACCCATACTACTCATAACTTTCTAAAAAGTTTGAATTTGCAAGGTCACTAGAAAGAGCATACCAACTTCCCTAGACCCCCAGAAACAATGGGTTGGTTATGAGCTTTTTTTTTTTTTTTTGAAAGGGAAAGGGGGAGCTTGGCTGCTTTAGATGATGTGTTCATCTTAAGGTGACTTTAACTTTCTTTTATTTGACCCTCACTCAGTTACGATAAACAGAGTACTAATTGAGATATGGTTTTTGTGTACTTGAACTTTTGCTGTGGATTTGGATACGGAACCTATCATTTTCTTGGGCACACACAGCCCCCTTGCTCTGGGATTTCTGAAATGAGAAGCGTCAGTTGTCACTATGTGGGGCTTCTCCGAGTTTGCGCCTTAATTTATTACCAGACACATCTGCGAATCAATCTCCTGTGACCCCTACTCAGTTCATCTCCGTCACAGTTTCGCACTGTTGGCTAGGAGCAGATCAGTAGGACCTTTGTGGCAGTGAGTAGTGAGTATCTTAAAAATGCCTAACCTCTCTGCCTTGGTAATTCTTCTGAGATCACTCAGGACATGATTCAGGAGCACATACAGCTGTTTATCACAAATATCATGTACTTTCAAAATATTAAAAGCGCTTATTAAAAAAAAGAATTGAAATACACAACATTAGATCAGTGGTTTTATTTAGCTTTTTGTATAACAAATACTAGGAATTATTTTGACCATTAAATTTACTTCCCAGTTAAATATTTAAGTGGAAAAATCAGGATGCAAACTTGTTTGTATTGTTTCAACTATAATTGGAAGAAAATATCTTCGATGTTAACGGTGGTCGCCCCTGAGTGGTGGAAGTGATGGCTCTTGCCTCTTTCCTTCTTTGTACCTTTTTCTAGTTATCAGTTTCCACAGTGAATTTATATTAAATCCAAAATCAAGGAAAAAGCCAATAAACGTGATATACAATACTACCAGTCCAGAAAACACCTTTTTTAGAAATTCGCTGAATTTCATTTAAGGTGTTTGACTTTACGTAAGTATTCAATATACACATTACTGGAAGGGTAACAGTTTTGTTAGTCTGAGTCATATATAAACAGAGTGACTTATCTTTTATCGTATTTGTCCAAGAGGCTCTACTTCAGTATAACGGAATTGTTATTATCTGTTTGAATTTGACTTTTAAAATACTTTTGGTGGGTCCTCTGGGTGGCTCAGTCAGTCAAGCGTCTGATTTCAGCTCAGCTCGTGATCTCACCATTCGTGAGTTTGAGCCCCACATCGGGCTCTCTGCTGTCAGTGCGGAGCCCGCTTCAGATCCTGTCTCCCTTTCTCCCTGCCCCTCCCCTGCCCCTCTCTCTCTCTCCCTCTCTGTCTCTCTCAAAAATAAACATTAAAAAATAAAAATAATAAAAAAATAAATACTTTTGGGTTGTACGAAGAGTCCTATATGTGGATATTGATGTTATTTATAGATTAAGCCCAGATTCCCTTTGGCTTATATATTACATTAAAATTTGTGATATAATGCAAAATATCCATACAGGTTTGCCCAGATAATCTCTTCATTGATCTGAAATGAATTCCTTGAAGATTTTTTTCCTTTCTCCTAAAAATCATTTTTTTTTTTTTTTGATGTTTATTTTGGTGAGAGAGAGGGGGGTGGGGCGGACAGAGAGAGAGAGGGAGACACAGAATCCAAAGCAGGCCCCAGGCTCTGCGCTGACAGCACGGAGCCTGACTGAGCCACCCAGGCGCCCCTAAAAGTCATCTTTAGGTGCTGTCAGTGCTGTGCTGTACAAGGTGCAGAAAAAAGCAAAATCGTCTGTCACTGCTTAAAATCATGAGGAGATCAGCCAGACACTCCCCCACACCACCACCCCTCCCACAAGCACACACCCATGTACTTGCTCGTGGCACACACGAAGGCGGCGATTGTCCAGGTGGGGTCCACAGACCTCGGGGGGCGTCCTTGAGTCGGCACTCTTTACGACGACACCAGGACGTCGCCTCCCTTCCCCCTGCGTTCCCACTTGCACCCGTGGCCGAGGAAGAGCAGCAGTGGCTGTGAAGAGCCAGCACCTTAGCACGGATCCACACGTTGGCTCCAAACAAAAGTGGTATTCTTACCACCACGCAGCTGCCATTTCACACACACACACACTCACACACACACACACACACACACACACACACACACACCAGTTTCATTTAAGATGAGCCTTAATGGAGCGTGAAAAATTATTTGTTTTCCATCTCAGCCTTTGAGGGGTGCCCGGGTGGCTCAGTCAGTTGAGCATCCGACTCTTGATTCCGGCTCAGGTTGTGATCTCACAGTTTTGTGAGTTCGATCCCGGTATCAGGCTCCATGCTGACGGTGCAGAGCCTGCTTGGGAGTCTCTCTCTCCCTCTCCCTCTCTCTGCCACTCCTCTGCTCACACTCTCCGTCTCCCCCCTCCAAAAAAAATCTCCACCTAAGAGCGCACACCTCTGTACGACAGAGCGGGAGGTGGGTAGAGGCACAGAAGTAGGTGAAAAGCACTTCTGCAGCTCGTTGGACCGGGAGCTGAACTAACGGTATTTTTCACGGAATGCCATTTGACTCGAGAAAACCATCAACTTGCTCAGACTTGGGCACTGGACAGAAAATACATGTTTTAGAAAATACATGAAGTTAGCCTGTCACCTCAAGGAAAAGAAGGGGGAGTATTTGCTGCCATTGATAAAACTTGAGCTTTGAAGTGAAAATCAAAATTGAGGAAAACTTGTTTTGGCCCACCACTGTGAGCTTGTCAGCTTCCCAGTACGTGAGGCTTCTGATGAGATGAAGGAGGTCCTAATGACTATGATTTTCTTAACATTGTATAAGGAAGCATGCCAACTTTGGAAGATCTCTTACTTAGCTGCCCGCCAGCTTCCCTGTGACCAGTGCCTGGCATCACAAAATGGCGGGTGGGTCACAGATCCATTCTAAATACAGCGTAAGCCAATGAATTTTCATGTAACACAGTGAACTAACGTTTTTAAAAACTACCACTTGTCAAGTTTTGGTATAGTAGCAAAAATACCTATAATTATCTGAAAATATTTGATTAAAATACTCCCTTTTCCAGCTACATTTTTGTGAAACGCCAGGCTTTATGTGTATACTCAGCCGGAACAACCTATAGTAGCAGGTGCAAATGCAGAAGCAAATGAATGTCTCACTGTCTTTTATGAGCCATACTAAAATATGTTAGCATACAATGAATGGGTTTATCATCGGTATTCTTTAGGGAATTTCTATTCATTTGTTTTTTTTTAAGTTTACTTATTTTGAGAAAAAGAGAGCATGCGAGCGAGAGAAGGGCAGAGAGAGAGAGAGAGAGAGAGAGAGAGAGAATATATCCCAAGCTGGCTCCCCTCCACCATCTCAGAACCTGACATGAAGCTCGATCCCATGAACCACGAGATCAAGAGTCAGACACCCAACCGACTAGGCACCCAGGAGCCCCTAAAGGAATTTTTAAATATTTAAAAAATTTCTCAATTTTACTTCCTAATATAAATATTAATAGCTGTTACCCACATGAAGAATATCCTCAAGAGTCTTAAGATATGTAAAGGGATTCTGAAACCAAAAAAAAAAAAAAAAGGAAAATTGTTGCTTTCAGGCCTGTAATTCGATGTCCCAGAAATCACCTGAACTGTAGAAACTATTGGTTGGTTGCCCATCCCGCCCCCCCGCCCACCTCTCCCCCTTCCCCTTTCCAAATCAGAACTTCTAGTCAACTAGGATCTTCAGGTGATTACCCCTAAACATCACAGAAGCACTGCCTTCCGGAACTTGTGGAAGCAGTCACGGGCAGGGTGGGTGCTGTGCCCAGGGAGAGCATCCTGGGAGAAAGAGCCCTTCTTGTCCCAAATGGCTCCCCTCTTCTTAGCTGTCTGTCCTCTGTTCAGGTATTTCCTCTTAAGAATGTATACTCATACAGTTTAGGTGTTGGAAATTGACTGGAGCTCTAGTAGAAATCTGGGCTCGGAGAGAGTAGGCTGAGTGAACACTCAGGAAGAGACCTGATGGAGACATGAAGCCTGCAGCAGTTTTCAGAACCTTCTAGAGCAAGGCATGTCTGTCCAAGCAAGTGCCTGTCACCAAAAGATTTTACGGTGTTCTCACCTCATCTCTGGTTTGCTCGTGACACTAAAGATAACCACCATTGGTATAAACTTAAGGGGGAAGAATGCAGACACTTAAACTGTAGTAGTACGTTTATCTCAAAAGCCGTTTTCACCTTTTTTTTTTAAATTTTATTTATTTTTTTTCAACGTTTATTTATTTTTTGGGACAGAGAGAGACAGAGCATGAACGGGGGAGGGGCAGAGAGAGAGGGAGACACAGAATCGGAAACAGGCTCCAGGCTCCGAGCCATCAGCCCAGAGCCTGACGCGGGGCTCGAACTCATGGACTGCGAGATCGTGACCTGGCTGAAGTCAGACGCTTAACTGACTGCGCCACCCAGGCGCCCCCGTTTTCACCTTTTAATTGCATCTTCCCTTTGGATACGCAGATAGTTCTATCAGTAAGCATCCATGCAGTGCCGTCCACGCTGAAGGTCACTGGGTGCCGCTCAGGGAAGGCATTTGTGAAGCTAACCAGGCTACCACACTCGGCCAGAAGTAGACGTTGTGTATGGTTTCGGTGGGGTTAGTTGTTCACTCTGAATTTTGTGACTAAACAAAGTATGTTTGGATTAAGTGTGCAGCCAGTTTAATATAAACTGTTGTAACAAAATCTTCCATTTCTAAGCCCTAATAACTATTTTATTTTATTTTTTTTCTTGTTTTAGGGTGAATCCGTAAAATATTTCCTGGATAACTTGGATAAACTTGGAGAAGCAGTAAGTTTTTGTTTATGTTTATTGTTGTTTGAAAGCAATAGGTTATTAGGAGGTTTAGAAAAATTATGTATCGAGCTGTTTGCTCTTCCTTCGTCCTGGCGGCAGCTTTCGGACTGTTCCAGCTTCATTTTGTCTCCCTCTGTCATCCAGATCGCTGCCATTTCCCTGAAGAGTGGCCTGTCCTCTGGTTCATGAACATAAAACTGTTTAGAGAAAGTTTATGTTTGAAAATGAGATTGCACATTATCTATTCTACTTCAGTGTCTGTGTGTGTGTGTGTGTGTGTGTGTGTGTGTGTAAAAGCAGAAACGGGACACGGTGGGTTGACTGATTTCAAAACCTTTCAGCAAACGGTATTTTTCAGCTCGGAAGCGCTTTGCGTTGAGTTACAGTGTGGGAGGGCTGGATTCTGAAGGCCGGCTGAAGAGACCCCCGAGTAGGTGAAGGAGTCACCCTGGGAAGGAGAGTTTCTGATTTTCCTCTCGGCTGGCACCGTGGCTGGCTGGGGCTCCAGGGCCTGCTGCGGGCAGGGCGTCTGCTCTGTTCTCTGTGCCGGTCTCACGCCAGAGACTTCCCTGGAAGACAGGTTGCTGCCGCTCAGAAAATGTCTGCAGGCCGTGGCCCCACAGTCATTGGCACCTGCTGGATTTACGGCAGCGTTCTTGGCCTCCTCTTTAAAGCAAATTTCTCTAATACGTTGTAGTATAAAGTCTCATGGGTTCTTTGAGGTTACCTTTCAAAGTAAAACTGAAAGAAAACCCTCAATGAAAACCCCGCTGCAAGTAGGAAAGTGGCATACTGATGTATCTAGGACATGCGAAAATGTACCTTCTTTTTGCAAGATAAATTTTGCATCCTCTTATTTTGGATTTTGCCAAATCGTACTTGTCTGCCCTGAAGTCCGTTTGTTTTTCTCTTGCCTGTCTCCTGGACACGTGTGTTCCAGAAGTCGGGAATCTCTGTATGAGTCTGCGTAGTAAGACTTGATTTCGTGGTCTCTTTTCCATCTGGTTAGAATGTAAGCCTTAAAAAAGTTACATGTAGGCCAGATGAAGAGAGCCTTAGCAGGGAAACTAGTTTTTAAGAGTTACCGCATGTTTTCCAAACCAGACGGTGCTGATTTGACCTGCTCTTCTCAGTTTGCCTTTTCAGATCAGCTTTCCTTGAGCACAGCATTCAAAGTAGGTCCCTCGTCTTGCATTCAGTTTCAGCCCTTGCTTTTTTCAAAGATCTTTGCTCTCTCTACAGCTGGTTATTTCTGTGTTTGCTTGTCTTCTACCTGCACCTCTTGCCATAAGGGCAAGGATCTCATCTCTTGATGGTGAAGGGTTGAGTTCCTGATGCCTAGTGACAATGCCTGGCATACAGCAGGCACTCAACAAATAACTTCTGAATGCATGGCCGTAGGCCCCTTTGTACTGGCTGCTCAGAGTCTTAGGTTGAGAACGGTTCCGAGGCCACATCTGGAGTAAACCGGAAAAGGCGCTGCGATCAGTAAGTAGGTCGGTGTAAAGGAGGGAGGACAAAGCTGGCTGGGCTACAGGCTGGCCATTTATCCTGGCGTCACAGGGTTGCATTTGCTTCTCCGTCTCTGAAGTACCAGGGGTGCTGAAGCCCAGCCGTGCGCCCCTTGACCCTCTGGGAGGTGGAACAGCACAGAGTCCAGGACGTGGCTCTGCAGCCAGACCACCTGGGTCCCCATCCCAGCTCCCCACAGCCTGTCTCTGTGTGAGCAGAGGCATCTCTAAACCCGAATTTCTTGATATCATGGGCATCGTACGAGACCTGACCTCACGGGGTTATGGGATGGTTACGTGAAATAAACCCTGTGTCTTAGTCTGCTCATTGTGCTGAGACAGAATACCATAGACCGGGTGGCTTCACAGCAGACATTTACTTCTCACGGTCCTGGAGGCTGGTAGTCTCAGATCAAGGGGCCAGCGTGGTCATTCTCCGGTGAGGACTTTTCCTGGCTTGCAGACTGTGGCCTTCTCTCTGTGGCTTCTTCACATGGCTTTTACTCAGCACATACAAATGGAGAGACAGGGATCTCTTAACTCTTCTTCTAAGACCGCCAAGACTGTGTGATCGAGACCCTTCCCTAGGACTTCATTTATCCCTGCTCGTGTCCTACAAGCGCCGTCCCAGAGTACAACCACTTTGGTGTTAGGGCTCCAGTGTGTGAACTTTGGGGGAACATAGTTCAGTCCGTAGCGCTCGGTAAGGTATTGGGAACAGTGCCTTCCATGTAGGAAGTGCTCGGTGTTGGCTGTTTTGCTCTTTGATCCCTGATTGTAGGAAACTCGTTCTAGTCAGAGACAGAATTACAACATACATAAAACCACGCAGAGGACAATTAAATGGTACTGATCATGAAGGTCGTATTAGTTCCTAGAACAGAGAGAGGTGTTTTGACCGGAGAGGCTGGAGCTGGGCCGTAAGAGTATATGAATCTGAACTGTCTGAAGGGGGAGGCGGACTTAGAAGAGGAGTTGCGGCCCCCCAAGATGGGAGACAGCTGGGTGTGTTTAATTTTAGGAGGCACATCCGTCTGGCAAAGGACATGTGACAGTCTTGGCTCTGACTTATAAAAACAGATTCCTAGAAGGCATCAGCTGGGGTTTGGATGCATCGTTCTTGCAGTTGCACTTGTGCAAGTGGATGGTCGTGGAACGGTCTCGGGGTGTGCAGCTTTGGGCAGATCTTGATCTCAGCTCTGTGGTAAGCCTGGACGATGTAGAACAGAGCCTGCCGGTTCCAGAAAAGCCATGAGTAAAGAGGGTCGTGAAAGCCAGTCAGCCAAGTGTGGACCGGATGCAGTGAAGAACCTCACCGTAAGTTCTGAAGTCACGGTGCCGGGGGGTTGGTCTGAGCGGTGTAGGGACAGATCCAAGAGGTGTGAGGCATTCAGGGCAAGGAGAGAGATTCAGTGGAGAGATAGCAATCCACACCGGAGGAGGTGAAAAAATGGGCGATGGCGGAAATAAGGAGAAACAGGATTGGAAATAGAATCGGTGATGCTAGAGCAGAGTCCACGGTGACAGGGGGGCTAGAAGAACTCTGAGGTCGTGGGCGGGGGGGGGGGCAGGAAGCAGGAAGGAAAGCGTGCTGGTGGTGCAGAGGGGTCGGCTGGGGAGAGAATGAGTTTTCTGATTGAGTGTGTGTGTGTGTGTGCGCGCGAGTAGATGACCAAGCGCAGTGAGCAGTGAGCTTTTAGACATGAGACGCGGGCCACCTGACGGGAGCTTGCCTGGCGGTCCCAGCCTTCTGGATTCCCTCTCTGCCCAGCAATGCTGACGGGAGGCGCGGCAGAACAGCTGGACTGGGTGCCCCGCACGGTCAACTCACTTAGTCCTCGAGGCCCCCTGTGAACCATATGACCCGTATCTCACCAGTGAGGCTGTGGAGACACAGCAGGATTCGGCGACCTGCCCAGGGCCACACAGCTCGTGTGTGAAGCGTGGGCTCTGGAACTCACAGTTGTAATCGCTGTTACTCTGCCAGGCCACTTAGCACTCGATTGCATTGTCCTGGTCTGGAGGCGTCATAGGAATTAGCTTTTAGCTTCCTGACTAGATTCTGAGCTTCCAAGTGAGGCAGTAGTAAAGAACTTTTCATTTCTATAGACTTAGAAGTTTAAAAAAACAAAACACCTTAGGACTGGTGTGTTTCTTTCTTTCTTCCTTTCTTTTAAGTTTATTTATTTTTTAAATTTATTTCGAGAGAGAGAGCACGCAGGGGAGGGAGAGAGGGAGACAGAAGCCCAAGCAGGCTCTGCAATGTTAGTGCAGAGCCCAGTGCAGGGCTCGAACTCACAAACCGTGAGACCACGACCCGAGCCAAAATCGAGTTGGTTGTTTAATGACTGAGCCACCCCAGCACCCCAGGGCTGGCGTGTTTCTGAGGCAGCTGGCACGGGCACACGCGGTAAATTTGTACCCTGTTTCTGGAAAGCAGTTGGGCTTTGAGTGTCCAGGGTCACCAAAATGTTCATAATCTTTGACCTCATAAGCTTATTCCTGGTTATTTTATCTCAGGAAATAGTCCAGAAAGGAAGAAAAAAAGTACATGTGTGAGAGTTTTAATTGCAAAATTTGTGTTAAAGCAAAAAATTGGAGAAACAACCTTAACGAGCACTAGTAGGAGAATGTTTATGTAAATTACAGACCATTAATCCAGTTGGTATGTTTATACTGCTTTAAAATGAAATACAACTGTATCAGCACATGTAACCGTTCATGATCAAATGTTAAGCCAAAAAGTAGGGGCAGGCTGAAAATTGTGTGGATGTGCTGGTTATAAGGAAAGCAGTGAGTATGTGAACAGAAGCTAAAAGGAAACCTGGAAACGCCGACATTGTTTATGAAGGCCCCAGAGTCATGTCCTAAACGGTGTGGATTACGGATAACCAAGAACCGCCTGCTTTTTTTTTTTTTTT